GCAGAACACCTGAAATGTCTCCTTCCTTCCCATGACACCGCAGTAGAATGTCACCCTGTATCTGGCACATTGGGCAGCACGGTGGGAATGTTTGCCTGGAATAATGCGCATAGTGCAATATGATGATGATAATAATCCCTAGCTCTTCTGTGTATACACACACACGCACGCACCTACCTATCTTATAGAACTGGAAGGTCATTGTGTCCAGCCCCCCTGCCTTCACTAGCAGGACCAAGTACTGATTTTGCCCCAGATCCCTAAGTGGCCCCCCTCAAGGATTGAACTCACAACCCTGAGTTTAGCAGGCACAATGCTCAAACCACTGAGCTATCCCTCCCCTCACTCCTATAGTGCATTTCACAGGTAGATCTCAAAGCACTGGATAAAGAAGGCCGTTGTCATTGTCATCTTTGGAGAAACAGAGACACAGTGAGGGAAAGTGACTTGCCCAGGGTCACCCAGCGGGCCAATAGCAGAGTTGGGACTAGACCTCTTGAATCCCAGTCTCATGCTCTCGCCACGAGGCCCATACAGCAGCAAGGGCAGGTGCCTACACGCAAGCTGAATTCCAAATGATTCTGGTCTCTAGACCTTTGCCGTTACTTGGGATGGGACTTGGGTTGAGGCCTTAGCACGTGATGAACAGACCAATGAACATTCTTTTCGCGTAACTGCGGGGGAGCTGTGGCAGCTCAGATGGGCCAGTTGGGTTTGCTGAGCTGTGTGTCTATTGGTGTGTAATTAGGGCCAGCATCGTGTAGATTCTTGTTAATCGAGTTAAGGCAAACTGATGCAAAAAAAAGGAATTTTGTAGGAAGTTCTGAGGTGAAACGTCCGATCTGTTTAATTGTTTGCGGGGAGGGATAGCTCAGTGGCTTGAGCATTGGTTGGCTAAACCCAGGGTTGTGAGTTCAATCCTTGAGGGGGCCATTTAGGGATTTGGGGCAAAAATCTGCCAGGGACAGTACTTGGTCCGCCTGTGAAGGCAGAGGACTGGACTCAATGACCTTTCAAGGTCCCTTCCAGCTCTATGAGATAGGTATATCTCCATATTAACTGGAGAACAAACCAGAGCTGACTTGGCAGTTCCTTAGCTGTGCCGCTGGACTGAATGAATGAGCGTAATTGGTTGCACCTTCAACATATGCACAGTCATCCATTCATAAATCTTAAGGGCCAGGGGGACCATTATGGTCATCTAGTCTGACCTCCTGCAGGCTCAGGCCAGGCTGTTGCATCCGGGGGTCCAGGAACGACACACCGGGGTGAAAGAGCCATCCGTGGCTGTTCAGCTCGGCGAAGCTGCAGGGTTGTCGGCGCCAAGGAGGGGAAGTGCTGATAGGGAGTCTAGTGCTGATAAAGACATGGGATTCGGTCCTAACTCAAGGCCACGTCCTGCTCGGAGAGGAATCCTGCAGAGGATGGGAAACTGCGCGTCGCTGCTACGTGGGGACGCTTTGTCAGAGGGAGCCCCAGCAGCCTCCCTCCTTCCCCTCCCGCAGCTCTGGGGAAGCTGCTGGTGTGTGGAGCTCCAAGGCTGTGTAGGGATGTGGCTAGGTGGGCTCAGGGAGAGGGCTGCTGTCCTTGGCATCTGGCCCCTTCAGATCCAGGGGGTTTCCCCATATCAGGTAACGCTGAGCCTTTGTGACCTTCCCCTCCCTGCTCTGAACCTCTCCCTCCCACCGGAAGGAGGCCACTCAGGCACCATGGGAGCAAGACTCTGATGGGAGCCCTGCTGCTGCAGAATAAGGGGGAATGTGGCACCTCCCCACAAATGCCCCACTCCTCACAGGTGCCCCAGCTTCTACAGGCTGGTTGGGGACCCGAGCAGGCAGCAGTTAGGCATGGAAGGGTATTGAGTATTTAGAGATGGAGGTGGGAGACTGGTGTTTGTGCCAGGAGCCAGGGGACAAGACACATGGGTGCTGTGAAGGGATCACTGAGCATCCCTTCCTCTCCTGAACATGTGCCCCATCTTTGGCTTGGCCGGTTTGGACTGTAAGCTCTGGGGGGCAGGGAGCATGGGTTCTGTAAAGGACCATCTGCATTTACAGGGCTATACAGATGCTTAATTTCACAGCAATGCAGACTTGCAGAGTATGAATAATAACTGCAAAAGCACGGCTGAATTTTTAGGTGCTTGTAGTTAAAGGTCTCTAGGCAAGAGTGCGGCCTAGCGGGTAGAACACTGGACTGGGACTCAGGAGCGATGCGCGTTCTCGTCCTGGCTCTGCAACTGGCCTGCTGGGTGACCTTAGGCAAATCACCTCACCCCTCTGTGCCTCAGTTTCCCCATCTGTAAAATGGGGCTAATGATGCCTCCTTTGTAAAGAGCTTTGAGATCTACTGAAGATAAGAGCTAGGGGCTGTTATTTACAAAACTGTGACGTGCACAGTGGGTCTGATTCTGGTATCACTCCAGTGACTTCAGTGGACTCCTGGTGTAGACGTGTGTAATTGAGGGTAGAGTTGGGCCCAATAAGTACAAAGGAGCAGCTTGCCCAAGTAAACCCAAGAGCAAAACAAATACCTAAGCATAAGTAAATAGTAAATACAAACAAGCAACCCTACAATAAACAACACAAACCAGGAAACATTTGGAGTGTGATGTCCATCGAGAGAACAAAATATTTGCCCCTTAGCTGATGGCACAGAATCACAGTGTCCGCTCAGGTGCTTTGTACCTTGCCTCAGTGTCTGTTAATTGTTTGGCAGCATGGCTCTTATGGGCTAGCCTGAGAGTGTCTGTGTCCAGGTGTGTGTGTGGTGGGATAACGTTATATCTGTCTTAAAAATGGCAAAGCCCTTGTGATTCGTGCGTGTCAGCTCTGTGGGACATCAAAATACCCTCCTGAGAGAGAAAAGTATAAAGTTGTTGATGTGTAGTCATTAACTTATATGCACTGAAGGATCTGTGCTCACGTGAAGATCCCTGTTAGAGGCACAGTAGCTTTTGGAAGAGGTTCCCGGATCTGGGTTATTTCTTCTCCCACTTTCAAAAACACACACACACCTTCTAATAACAGTGCCTAGCCTCATCAGAACGAACACACACACACACACACACACACACACACCCCTTCTAATAACAGTACCTAGCCTCATCAGAATGAACACACACACACACCCCTTCTAATAACAGTACCTAGCCTCATCAGAGCACTCTACAAACATTCGCTAATCAATCCTCCCCCTGCTCCTGGACAGTGGGTAAATATTAGCATCCTTGTCTTGTAGCTTGGGAAATTGAGAGTTTAAATAACTTTCCCATGGCCACACAGTAGGGGTGAGTTGGCCACAGAGCCAGGCAGGTTGGGCTCTGTACATAGGCCTGTTTTGCAGAGGTCTCCCAGGGGGTACATCAACTCATCTAGATATTTGCCTAGTTTTACAACAGGCTACATAAAAAGCACTAGCAAAGTTAATACAAACGAAAATTCCATACAGACAATGACTTGTTTATACTGCTCTATATACGACACACCGAAATGTAAGTACGATATTCATATTTCAGTCGATTTATTTATAATTATATGGTAAAAAAGAGAAAGTCTGCAATTGTTCAGTACTAGTGTGCTGTGACACTTTTGTATTTTTATGTCTGATTTTGTAAGCAAGGAGCTTTGAAATTAGGTGGAACTTGGAGGTACACAAGACAAATCAGACTCGTGAAAGGAGGACAGTCGTCTGGAAAGGTTGAGAGCCCGAGTTACAGCACTTGGCCATGTCTGTGTGTTATGGAATTGCCGTTTCAACCCTGCACAGCCCGTTTATTTGAACTGAGGACCGACCATGCAACCTTTATTCACCTGAGTAAAAGAGGCAGGGTCAAGCCCTCGGGTCCTCAGGGAGATTAATCTGGCCTTCTCACTCAGATCCCAATCGGAAATTGACTTGTGCATTAGAGGAACAAACTGCCAATGTAAACAGATGAGCCAAATTCATCCCTCGTTCAGCCCCATTGATTTCAGCTGAATGACACCAGGGATGGATTTGGCATAGTCTGTTTAATCATCCTTTACAACAGAGGCTGGGCTAATGGGAAAGAGCTATGCTTCAATTGATTCCCATCTACTTTGTCTCCACAATGCGCTAATTATAGAGACGTGCTTGCCTCTCCAGGCCAGCCCTTAGATACACCTGCCCCCTGCTGCCCTAAAATCACCAGTTCCTCAACACTAGCAGATTCATTACGTACCTTCCAAGCTCTAAAAGCCATAAGGACCTCTGCCGCTAATGACTTCCGGAGGACCCCGTCGTCTCTGCTGCATGGGTGGCCTAGTGGATAGAAGTCTGCACCATGTGTTCGTGCCACTTGTTTTAACCCCTCCCTCCCTCCGTTCATTTTATTGTGATGTTTTTACAGCGTGTTTGAAAATACTCCCCCTCGGGCTGAATTGTAACAGCCAGCAATCCCAAAGACTCTTCCTGCCACCATTGAAGTTGATGGAGTTTTGCTGTCGGCTTCCACGGAAGCGAGATCGGGCTTTTCAGGATCATTTTTGATGTTCATTATTTACAGAGAAGCCACACTGAATTATTAATCCGGGGGATCTAGATAACGTTAACAATTCTCAGTTTAGACGAGTTTGCCATTCATAACGAAAATTGGAAATTTATCACGGGATCTGTTCATTAAAACTCACTTTTTTTTTCTTTTGTTGTCTTCTCACGAAAGCAGAGAAATAAGCAAAGAAGAAAAAGCCGTTTGTTCGTTGTTTCTCTGTAGGAATCCAGCCCGTCATTTCGAATAAAGTCTTTGCTCTTGTATGCGTAGAGGAAACGGGTTTATAATGAAAGCAGCCCCTCAACCATATCTATAGTATCACTCAACCATAAAACAAATATTTGCAAATATACCCCGCTTCTTTTTTAAATGAGAACATTTAGTCCTGTTTAATATTTTTTCCACCCTAGATGCCTTTCTTGCTTGTAGCGTGTGCTTTCTCCGAGGCAGAGGGTTGGTGTGTTTTTAACATGTCTTCTGCTCGTTCTAGAGATGGCGGATCCATATTCCTTCAGAGGTGGAAGGAGAGCTGCAGGGTCCAGCAAAACCAGCGCAAGCAAAGAAGGCAACAGGACAGAGATGAGGGTAAATCCGACCCCTGAGCCCCCCAAGCTGGGTAAGAAATTGGGTTTTCTTTTCTCAAAGCAAAGGGGGTGGAGGAGACAGGGCACAGGGTAGGTCTTGGAACCGTCACCTTCCAAACCAAGGGGAAGGGGACATACCTTTCAGCCTGCCAAAGCCTGCGTGTGAAGCAAAGACCCAGACTGAGGGACACACATTTTACATGCAGACCTGGGAAAATGCTAGAGGATTCGGTTAGGTAGCGTGACCCGTTCTGCTGCCTCAGTTTCATCTCAGCTGAGTCAAGGGAAAGGGGGTGGGTCAGCTTTTGTGGCGTGCATCATGCGGGAGGTCAGACTAGATGATCATATTGGTCCCTTCTGACCTTAAAGTCTATGAGTCTACTGCTGATGTAAATGCTTTTCTGCAGTAAAGCGAGGGGTCCCTAGATCTGTATAGAACGTAGGGAAATTGGGGCCGGAAGTGAATGATGTGGCTTGAAACGAGGGGCAGTTGAGCGGTAGGGAAGCAGACCTCCTGAATGCTGTCTGTCTATCTAGTCTATTGCGCCTTGGGTCTCATTTGTCACCCGCCCAGGATGCTGGGTTTGTGAATGTGTGAGGCCAGTGGGATTTGTTTGCTAAAGGTTTGTCATTCCGGTGCAAGTTGATTTTCTATCCAGGGACCTATAAACCTGCCATAAGTTTGAGTTACTTGGCTGCAGCTTGCCGTCTTGGGCCGAATGCCCCTGGCTGGGCAAGACCCAGTCAGGAAGCTCATCCTCCCCATTAAGTGACCTTTCATCAGCACGGCGTGACTCACATGGCCTCCGCCATCCATCAACATAAGGGACGTCTCTGTCATCCCCACAGTGCAGCTCATTCGGATGGCCAGGACCGTGCCTCTAGGCAGTCTGGATACCGCACTCTCGTTTATGTGACTTCTTGGTCCTGATGGCGAGTAATTCTTTTTATTATTATTTATTTATTTGTAATGAGATTTGTCACATGGATAGTTTGTGCCAGTCCACAGAAGAGCCTGAAACTCTCCTCCCGCGGCTGGCAGAATGGAGCGGCGCATTCGCTGATGTCCCCGTCTCTTTCCAGGAAAGGCTGTTAGAAAGTTCAGCCAACTGGGTGATCTACTGGGCTGAAGTTTGTTGGTGCTTTTGCTCCATGTTGAGAATGCAGGCGCCCGAAGATGGCTCTTTTTTCCTAATGGAAGTCGTTGTTGGCTAATCTGGCTTTGTCCCGTGGGCCACGGTGGCGATGCACAGAATGGGGACTTTGCCTGTGCTGATGGCTGGTGGAGGCCCCATGAATCATGTGGCGATGATGAACAGTCACTCATTGAGGAAGTTCCCTCTGAAGCACCTGGCATTGGCCACTGTCGGAAGACAAGATGCTGGGCTAGATGGACCTTTGGTCTGACCCAGGATGGCCGTTCTTATGTTGGAAAACTGGCTGCTTACATGAAGTTGGCTCTTTCCAGTGATTTTAGGTGCCCAATTTGAGACACTTTACAGGGCCCTAGGATGGGTACTCATCACATTATGAAAATCAGGCCTCTTTAAGATGTCTCAAGTTGGGCCCCAAAATCAATGGTCACTTGGTAAAATCTTGGCCTAAGTATTACTTTTCCTACAACTACAATTGCCGTAGTTGCTACAGGGACGTTATTAAATCACCGGTGGGACGGGAGGTGACTCACGTGCAGGGGAGTGTTCACGAGACACTCTCTGGATTAAACAGGGGTCCAGGCTCTGAAAAAGTTTGAGAACTCTTCTTAAACTGAGTTGAAAGGCACCCTTGGGGCAAAGAATGAGACATTCCATTCCACAGGTCAGCATCCATCCCACCCCAAAACTAGGTGTCAGAGATGCTCCGACGGGCAGCCCAATTGTCTGAGCACTCACAAGTGCTTGTAGCTGCAGCGAGGTAGAAAATAATTAATTATGGACATATAATTGCTATCCGAGTGGTGTTACTCAGAGCTCAGTAGAGTGAACTAAATCTGTCTAAAGGCTTTTTTGGTTTTTGCTGTATCAGCTCTTGTCAGTGTCTTTAAAATAAAATAAAAACACCCTCCATTTTTAATTCCTCAACTTCCTGGTTTAAATGAATGTGACGGAGCGAAAACTTTTAATTATTCCCGCTGGTGGGAGAGTTCTGTGGGGTGTTAGTTCCTAACAAGGTTAATTTCACAGGTGTGAAATTAAGCTTTGTGCAGATCCAGGGAGAAGTTGCCTCTCCAGTAATAGCTTTGCTGGCGCTCTCTGGCTTGCAGTCGTTCCAAAGCCCTGTGCCCAGACTGTCTGTTCTGGGATCCGTTTCAAGGAGAGCATGGTTTTCATGCTGTGGCTTTGGTCTTGACCATGAGGGGCTTTGGATACCTAGAGAATCTGCACAGAATTCCATGTGCCTTAAAGGTACCGGGTTTGACCCTGTCTCTCAACTTTTTAGAAGATGTACATTTTGCATTTCTCTGCACAGCTGCGGGAATGGAGGAGCAAGGCACCTCCCTTGTACATGACTATAAACAATCTGGGTTTAACACCAGCAGCGCTGAGCTGTGCACGGCATGCCAATACAGTACATAATCCTGCCACACTAACCACAGCTGGCCTCCCTGCAGCTGTGCTGTGGAGCTAGCAGGTGGTGCAGATGGGTAGCTGTGAGCCCAGATGTTGGGGAAAAAAGCGATATATTTTCTATTCCTCTGGACTAGGCCTCCAATTGCTCCCTCTTCTTCATCCCTGACGAAGAAGCAATTTGCATCTCTGCCAGTGCTGGAAATGGATGAACAAGGAATTAAATTAGAAAAAAAAAAGTTTTTAAAGTCTTTAAAAGTTTTTAAAAATATAGAGAGGATGAACTTCACCAACCATTCCAAACATGCCAGGCTCCCCACTGGCCTGCTTCTTTTCTTGGGGAACTACATAGAAAAACAGGGGCACGCTGTTCTTGCTGCGTTGGAATATTTTGAACTGGCAGAGTGTTTCGGAGGGACAAAGTGGAAAAGTAAGAGAGATTTTTTAGAAAGGACTGTCCCTCCTGACAGGGGAGAACAGTGAAGTTGCAGGGTTGCCAACTCTTGCTGTTTTACTGTGAGTCTTGCAATATTGGGTGTTGGTCTTAAAGTCCCAGCTCCTGGAGTCATGTGAGAAGCTCAGCTTTCACTTACAATAAAGTGAAGTTTCTAGCCCTCATGGTTGCATAGAAAATCTTGAAACTATTACCTGTGTGCACCTTACAGTCTCAGAATCCAGGAGGCAAAGAAAAATATGTAACCAACAAACAGAATTTCTAATAAGTGAAAAACTCTTAACAGAACTTTGGTAATGGTTTTGAAAGGGGACCTGCAAACCTTACTCCAGAACTAAGATGATTTCAAAGCAACCATGCAAAATTCTATTGACCCACTTAATCAGGGCTAGTGATTGTTTTTGATGGGCAAGTGCCTAGCATTCATTTCTTTTTTCATTATGCTCAATCATCCTGGCAGGGGAAGGGCAGGCAGAGTTTCCATCTGCATGGGTGTGTCTTCATGACAGTTTTGCGAGGCTGTTTGTAAAGGGTGGGGCTGAATGGCATAAACAGCAGCAAATACAAGGCTGTGAACTAACCTGGTTTAATGGGCTCCGGTCCCCACTGTCACACCAGCTGGCTCCTGACCACTAGAATGCATCATTCTGTTATATTGCAGCTCTGGGAGCTGTACTGGAGCAATGAGGTTTCCTTACGGGGGGGTCAGATAGGTGGCTTTATAAGGCAGAGAGCTCAGCTTTCCGCAGTTATTTCATATTCCGTAAGGGTTATAACTGTGCCATAGACTAAAAGCCACATATTACACACACATCGTTCTGGATCAGCGGGACGATGGGTTCATGGCTGCCAAAGCTGAGCAGAACAGCTGGTATGACTTTAAGGAACTAGAAATAAAATACTAAACAGTCTTATTTTCTAGATGCCTCTTTGCCCCAGGGTATTTGGAGCATACAGCATAAAACCTTGAGAGGCAGCTTATTCTGAGGGAAAGTTTTGTAGGTAGCCAGATAGCCTTTCATCTAACTTGTAACAGTTGTTCCAAAAAAAGAAAAAGAAAAAAACCCCACAGATCTAGCTTCTAAATTAGAGCCAGGTTCTGAGCCGGAATCTTTGACTTCTCTGGCCGTACAGCATGTGAGTTTGCAGAGTTTATTCTTGGGTTGTTTTTTGTTTGATTTTTCTGTTGGTGTTTTTTTTGTAAATGTAAATTGTTCTCCACAAGCTGTTTTTGTTTCCCCTTCAGATGGAGCATTTACTAGCACTGTTTTTTTTCCCTCCTTTAATTAAAACCTCCGCATCTAAGCCTGAATCTTCATTTTACTGCTTACTGTTTCTACTGGCCTATTCTGGATATTGCAGAGGGACGTCTTTTCAACCTGCTTTGGGGTTAAATTCACTCTGTGCACCACTTAAGTTGCAATTAAGCCCTCAAAGAAACGCTTAAATGGGACAGGCTTTGTCCTGCCCCTCTGGAGGGGGGATGGTTTCACTTTTTGGGGCATGTACACTTTTTTGCACACTCCCACTAGCTCATACAAATGATAAGATTGACAAACTCAGAACCCATTTGTGTTTGGCTTGGAGTTGGTATGTGTCAGCGTTCTTAGTTTAGCAGCTCTGTGTCAAAAATTGTGCATGCCAGTGGTAGTGCAGGCAGAGTTGCGCATGCACACAAAGAGGTCCGGTTTTGACAATTTGGTCCCAAAGTCTTTTGAAGTTTTTATACCATGATTGCGGATATTTGCACCTTTCCAGTACAGCTGCAAATAAGGTCTAATTTAGTTACAGAAAACGTTAAGAATTTGTTTCCACTATTCATGTTTTTTCTGCTGTACACCGGGGCCTGCATTTTCAAAAGTGGCTTCTAATTTTGGATGTTTCCATTGTGGTTGCCAAATTTTTAAAAACCCGGAGGCTGGCTTTTCAGAAGGGCTGAGCACCCTCATCTCACACTGAAATCAGTAGATAAGCATGTGCCAAGCAATATGGATCATATCTAGGATCATATTTTAGCACAACTCTCACAGTAATTTTCTTAGAGCCCCAGCTCCTGGAGTCATGTTATTAAATGAGAATTGCAGCTTTCATTTAAAAAGCAAATGTAAGATTTAGACTTCATAGTTATGGACAAATGTGACCCCTTAAGTCTCAGACACCAGAAAGCAAATAACCCCCACTCCCAACCCAAAAATGTATTATTTTTAAAGTCGATCTCATAACTTTGGGGGCCCTGACTTATGATTGTTGAATGCTTGCTTTAAACTATACCCTGAGTAGATGGAGGAAGCAGGAACAGAGGGAGAATGCTAGCAGTCAAAGAAATGGGCACATGGAAAATGTAATAAAAATCACTAATATGTCCTTTAATATAACTGAAAAACAGGCATTTGCTATTTTTTGTCACTCTTAGTTGCTTCTGCCATCTTGCACTAGACCATTCCTGTACCTGACGCTATATTAAATGAAACAAAACGGTGTTTTTAATCGGAGATTCCTGAACTGGAAGTTAGACTAGAGAGAGATATTGCGATACCAGAAAGGCACAATGAGGACATGTTTTGTGGTGCATTCGTACCCACCATCTCAGGCACAAGGCCAACGCCTTGGTACGTATCTAAGGTACGTATTTAAGGCCCCCTAAAACTCAATCTGCCATGTCAGCAACTGTATTGATAACAAAACCAACAGCCAGTGGTTTTGTGGGTGCAGTAGCTCACCCGGACTCACACAGCCTGTTCGGTGATGACACGAGGGAAACTCGACCAGGGCTTTAGAGTATGACTGGAGACTCTTCTGATTCCTTGCCAGTAAATACATATTTCAGTCAACTCCAAAAGCTCCTGTTTGCAAAATAAGCAGCACTGACCACAGATTGGAAGGATGTCAGCAAAACTGTCTCCTGTGTGGACTTTTGCACGGCCGTGCCTCTTCATCCTAGAGGATGTTCCTGGCGTGTCCTGTGTTAGGATCCCAAAATCTTCAGAGGCAGGCGAGGAGGAGAAGGAAACTGCCCCCTTCCTCTTGCAAGGAACTCCCATCTGTGCTGTTAGCTAATGTGATAGGCCAGGAGAACAGCACGGGGGTAGTCTTGTCCTCCGTGTTCATGAGGAATCTAAGTATGTAATTGCCCCATCCGTGGGGTATGGAGTAGATCCCTGAAAAATCTTTGATGCACCAAGAGCCCAACCGGGACACTGACAATCTGCAGCGGAAGAGGAAGGGCAGGGCTCCACCCTGCTTGGGTGACGCTGATTCTCTGCGGCATTACTCCTGTCTTATCCTAGAGTAGCTCCATTGATTTCAGTGTAAAACTGGAGTAGTGCTGGGAAGGCTGCCTGGCTGCTAGCTGGAGACCATAATGTTAGGACATAAGCAGTCATCTAGTGTTCAGCACTGTGATATGTAAGTACACGTTGTCGTGCTCCACCGTTCAGAAGGGTTCTGAGCTTCTGAGTCTGGCAGGCCCATGACAATAATCCTCCGCTGCTGAGTAGGGTTGGGCCAAACTGGAGCTTTAGCTCCGTTTTTGTTTTCAAGGGGGGGGGTTGTATGAAATTAGAAAGGAGAGCGTCAATCCTGCTTGAAATGATAGGAAGCGACATTGGGACACTGGTGCAGGAGTCGGCAGAACCACCCAGGTCAGTGGATACCAAAGGAGCTCGACCTAGTGGAATTTTCAGAGGATTCGCCCTGTTGATTAAGGTTCTATTTTAAGGGTCCATTATGTTGGCTGTAATGCAGGATGCTAGTGGATGTTTTATGAAAATACAGCCCTGAGGGACAGCCGCTTGGCAGATGGACTCTGCAAACCAGGGTCATTTGGGTAGGTACCTTGCTGCTGTTGATGTATTCAGCAAGTCTGATAGCGGAAAAACTGTGATAATCCAATCTGAGTTCACCTGGGATGAGTTTTAGAACTGGGTGACATTTTTCGGACAAATCGTTTATTTGGTAAAAAAGAAATGCAGTTTTGGCCTGACCAAAACTATTCACGAATTTGGGTCGAATGCGATGCATAGTTTTGGCCGCAAACAATGACTTTCTTTAACGTTGAAACATTTCACGTCGATATTTTCAAAATGAAAATGTCAACTTTTCCTTTCAGAACGACGTTTTGTTTCGAAATGTAGCTCGATTTGTTTTTTAAAAAACGAAAAGGGGGAAAATAACATGGAAAACTATACTAAAAAAATGTGGGGGGCGGGGCGGGGATTGTTTTGGGTCGACAGACCCAAACCATCAATTATTCATTCAGCTCCAGTGCAATTCATCCCTGGACAATGGAGCCAGAACAAAGGCTAGACATCATGATCGTCCCATTTAGGCCGGTGCTGGAACGTGCCCCGTCTGTCTGCGCGTTCCTGCATTCAGGCAGTGCCCATTAGGCACACACCCAGAACATGCTCCCAGCTCCCCATGGAGAAGTGGAGCTTACGAGGGGGACACTGGCCACAGGGGGAGTGGGGGGTGTTTCCCCAGGGATTGCTAGTGAGCTCCAGTAACTCAGCCTGAGGCAGTTGCGAACCTTTTCCTTCAGCCCCCCTGTTTAGGGCAGGCTGATCCTACAAGCTGGATGTGAGCGAAGGCCCCTGGAGGTGGGTCTTGGGAAGCGCCACCAGGAGCTAGAGACGAGGTCGCTGTAAATAGGGCTCTGAAAAGACCCCAAGAGTGAGCTGGACTCCCGCTGGGACCAGTAAGGATTGCCCAGGAGTGAGGGCTCCTGTAGGGAACCAAGGGGCAAGAGCCTCAAAGCTGCTACGGCTTGAGACCAGGCTGAGGGTCGGCCGAGTACAAGGCCCTCAGGATAGGATGTAAGCACTTCACAGGCTGCATGCTGGCCCCCCAGGAGAGGGGTGAACTTCCCCCCTAAACAGCCTCACAGAGATGATGTGCGGCATGTAGTCTCTCTTTAGGCTCCATCCTTTTCCTCCATCATCTGTTCCTTCTTCCTGGCCTTACTGCCTCACCTCCAGTCTCTGCAACTCAGCTCCATAGCCATAACCCGTCACGCTCCCCTACCCGTGCCATCTCCTCCTAACTCTCACCTCCTCTGCCATAACGCTTCCGCTCTACGCACACCTGTAATCGCCACGTCGCTGTCCATTGCTGGGAGCCACTGTGCAGGCAGAGTGGGAGTGCAGCGGAGTTCTAAAGCATTAAGGTGGGGTGGGACAATTCCTATGTTTTCCAGCCTGGCTCGGGCTACTCGGTCCTGTTGTTGGATCTTTGCCCCCGGTTTCCTTCCCTGGGCATCAGGGTTTGGCCCCCTTTTCCAGCCCAAGCCTGTTTATTGTTGAAGACAAAAAGAAATGGACGAGTAGGGCCGGGATTTCAGGAGCACTCCACTTCGGCCCGGCTCTGCTCCCGCTGAAGTCAATGGGTTAAACGGGAGCAGAGCGAGCCCAGAGCTGAGCGTTTTGAAATTCCCGCCCTTGGAGTTCGGCTGCTGGCGTGCACTGAGGTTGACTCTAACCCTGGCTTAGATCCAGGCTGAATCGTGGTGGTGTGAAGTTTGGACAGTCACGTAGGGTGACCAGACAGCAAGTGTGAAAAATCAGGACAGGAGGTGGGGGGTAAAAGGTACCTGCATAAGAAAAAGCCCCAAAAATCGGGACTGTCCTTATAAAATCAGGACATCTGGTCACCCTACAGTCACGGCACAGTCAGGAGGGAGGGTTAGGAAACGGTGGGCTATCTGTGCCGGTTAATAGGCAGGAGGAGTCTAGTGCAACGACAGAAATCAAGGTCTCGACTTGCTGGCTGGGTAGCTGTGGGCCACATGTTCTGTGTTTGTTTGCAGGAAATGCAACCAGCGACAAAACAGAAGGCAAGAAGAAAGGGAGACCTAAGGCAGAAAACCAGGTGCTGAAAGACATTCCTGTAAGAATCCAAATCCATTGGTGCCCTGATCCCCCCTCTTCCCCCGTCTCTCTCTGTCTGAGTCTCTCCTTCCCGTTCTCTCTTCCTCATCCTGTCCAGCCCCCTGCAAAGCCCAACCCAACCCCTCAGGGTCTGAGGTGGGGCAGAGCCAGCACCAGGTGCCCAGGTGGTGTTCCTGATCAGCCAGTTTAATTCCACTGACTGTGAAGGAATCTGGGGGAGATGTTGTTACAGAGCCTGTGTGTGCGTCTGCCAGGGAGAAGGGGAGCGAGAACCAGCCTCATTCAAAGCAACTCCCTCTTCCAGCATGAGGCTGCTTTGCAGTCTGGCTTAGCAGCTCAGGCGCCAGTCTGAGTCCTTCCGGCAGCCCTTCGAGCTAGGGGAGACGTCACTCAAGCTCTGTGATCGTGGACGGTGCACTGTGGGACTGACCTGCAGGGTGCTGGGTGCCCACTGGACTCAGCACCTCTCAGGAGCAGGACCTAGGGAGGCTGGTTTTAAAAACCAGACAGCGCAAGTGTTTGTTGACGCAGATCAGCCATCGAGCTGCCCCTTTGGAAGCGTTTTTGCTCAGGCTGGCCCTGCTGTCACATGTGCTGACGAAGCTGTGTTGGTGCACACGTCTGTCTGCACAGCTGGGTGCGTCCCCTTTGAACAATTTGATGCCAAGTGTGATGTGCTTACGGGAGTGACATGGGTGAAAGGATGATGTGAGCTAAGGTTTATTGATGGGGATTATCTATAAAGTACGGCTTAACAACTGGCATGATCCACAGTGTGGTTTCTTCAGTAGGGTGACCAAAGGGAGTGGTGTTTGATGGGTGGGATTGGAAGAACTCATTGGCATTACGTGAAAAATAGAGGCGGTCCGGGTTCCAACAAGTGACTGGCAGGTTGGGTGCCACACTTGAGACACCTGTGTAGTTGCTCAGTGCTTTCGGAGAACTGGGCCTCTTCACGGTGTCTCCAGTTGGACACTCAGCATCGCGAGTCACTTGAATAGGCTTTTGCATGTCAAGACGGTGCTTTCCATTAGGCAGGTTAGAGATCTGGCGTATTCAGCGTGGGGGTGTCAGAGCCGGTTTAATTATCGGGTGGCGCGTAGTAAGGTGTGAGTTGTTCCCTGGGGAATTGTACAATTTAATTTCAGCCCTGTAGCGTGGACAACATACGGAGCAGGTTGTCATTAGACTAGGGTGCGGCATGATTCGATGACTAGATGAAATGTGGGGTGGTTAAATCACTGAGGCGACTTTTGGTGAGATTTACGGGGCTGGGCTAGAATGTACTTTAGTCACCTGGGAAACACAGCGAGAGATGGGCTGCTTCCCTTTTGCAAAAGGTGCAATGTATGAGTGCGTGATTGCATCCCCAGTATAAGCGAACCTGAGTGCATGTACCTGACTGAGGGTGGAAAGCAGGTGGTGACAGGTACAAGTAGTTCATTTTGAGTACATGCTGGGCCTGCCCTTCTGAAATGTTCGCCCCAGCGTGTGTTGTGTTCACGGGTTGCTGGAAGGTGTGTATTCAGCTGCATGTCACCATGTCTCCCTTTCTCAGCTGCCCCTGATGAACCAGTGGAAAGATGAGTTCAAGGCCCATTCCAGGGTGAAGTGCCCCAATTCAGGCTGCTGGCTGGAGTTCCCCAGTATTTACGGCCTGAAGTACCATTATCAGCGCTGCCAAGGGGTAAGGAGGATGGAGGTTTGTGTTTCATTTTGACGATCAGTTCTTGTGTGTATAATTTTCAGTGTTCCCCTTCGCTTCCAGCACAACACCCACGTCTGGACGATTTCTCAGCAGTAGGGCTAAACTGCCTGGGTCTCTCAAGTTTTCGCAGGCACCGTCATACTGAGTCAGTATTTTATCCCCATCCCTCCTCGAACCATCCGCCCGTGTGCAGTGCCATCCTGACATCTGGCTGGAAGGGAAAGCTGAGCAGTACCTGTCTGGACCTACTGCACCTCTTCCCCTCATTCATCACATGCTCTGTCAGCGATGGGAATGGGTTTCTCCAGGATGCTTTCCATTTGGTGGCGTGGTGTTAGTGAGCACCAGCCTGTTGCATGCCGGAGGTTTCATGCCCACCAAAGCTGTGTAGCTGGCTTGGATTATTGGGCAGATCTCAAGAAGAACACAGCCGTTTGGAATGAGCTTTCCAGCCCGGGTCGACAGACTTGGTTCAGCGGGGCTCGTGCTAGTGCGACAACACTTGAAGCTGTGGCTTGGGCAGGAGCGCGGGCTCTGAAGGTAGGGACGAGGGTGGGCTTCAGAGCCTGGACTCTGGCCTGAGCTGCGACTTCAAAGCGCTGTCTGCACAGCTATTGTTAGAGCGCAAATGCCATGTCTGTTCGACCCCCCCGCGCCCGCCCGCTCGCTCCCAAATGCTGGGTAGACATAGCCCCGTGACACATGCGCTCGCAGTGCTCTAGCTAGCTTGCTAGAAGTATCCGTGAGGGTGCAGCGAGGCGGGCTACACCACGAGCTAGCAATGCGAGTGTGCACCCGGGGAACCTGGGGGGCTTATGCGGTTAAGTCTGATCTGAACTTAACCTTTTTCCTAGTGTATGTGCAAGGTAACACCGTTAGACTGATTTACCTGCCTGAGCTATAACCTAATCAGGGCTACCACTTGACCTGTTCAATCACACACATAGGTGCTGGGACTGGGGCTGTTGCACCCCCGGCTTGAAGTGGTTTCCATCATATGCAGGGTTTATAGTTTGGTTCAATGGCTCTCGGCACCCGCACGATACACATTGTTCCCGCCCCCCTGACCTTGCATATACCCGAGGAAAAAGCTCACTTTGAGGTGCGGCGTAGTTAGCACGTGTTAGCTAAGCCTGACCTACACTCCACCACTTTTCCTAGTTAAGACAAAGCTCTCTTGTTCCTCAGAATATTGACGTCTTGAAATTCCTTGAAAATCTATGGAAAGGTCCCAAAATGCCTGGGTTGGTTCATTTCAATCATAGAAGTACAGGACTGGAAGGGACCTCAACAGGTCATCTAGGCCAGTTCCCTGCACTCCAGGCTGGCAATGAATGTCAGGAGCGTGACAATCTGAATGAACTGGACCTTTTAAAACATGAAAAAATCCAAAACCTCCCCAGTGGAGCCACCGTCTGAACTATTGGGGGAAAAAATATGGTTGTGGTTAGTTTGAATGACTCAGCTGTTTAAAAAGGAAACGAAAACTTCATTTAATTAGGCTCTTCCTTATCCAGGAAGATGCTAATTTTGTTTGCGGTTGTCTTTTGTGCAAGTATCTGTGCATGAGTGTGCAGGTACACGCCTACCTGTGTGTGCATGGTGCAGAAATCCAGGCTGAGTTACTATCCCGCAAAAGGAACTTGCTCACCTGAATTATGTGACCTCCCCTCTAAAAAGGAAACCACGTTCCTTACGGACACTCAAGGAGGGAGGGCGGTGGAGGGCAAGGTGAATGTACTTTTGGAGCAGTGTGTGAGATGTAACCAGGTCCCCGCAACAAGGTAGACATACGAGTGTGAATAGCACCTGTGTGATATGTGGTCTTGAAGGTGGTTCTTTGCAGATGGTGGGTGGGGGTTATTGTTAAAGATTGATTGATTGATGTGACGGTAGCGCCCAGTTTGTTCCAGGCACTTTACAAACAGAGGGAGGCACAATCCCTGCCATGTGCAGCTCAAAACCTGAAACAGGCTAGCGGAGGAAATACGTTGTCTTTTTTTATTATTATTGATTCAAACCCCACCCCCCAGAATTTTTTTTTCCCCTTTTCTATCTGAGCAGTTGGGATTGTGCAGAATTTCTGGGCAGGCTCCAAACAGGTGAATTTGTCGAGATTCAAAGGCAGCGAAAACTGAGCAGAAACCTTTCTGTAATCCGCAATCTCCCCTCAATTTTCTGCCCCACTTTCATGGCACTGAGGGTTGCTGTTTATTTCAGTCTCTGCCGCTGTTCTGCAGTTTATTAAGAGGCAGCGTGGGCTGTACACATGGGGGTAGGTTTGCTTTACCTGCCACGGCCTGGGTAGCTTAGAGGATGGGCAGAGAACATTTTGAAGTATGGAATAACCACTCCCTGGAATGGGATTATCAAATGTATTAGCCTCTCCAGCTGTCGTGTTCCCTTCAGGTCAGATTGTGCAAGTGGAGGAATTTTGCGTGATCATGTGCAAAGCTACGTTAGTACCGGCTAAGTGCAAATCAACAGGAAACTCTGCCTCACTGAGGGCCCAGGCCAGTATCCAGCCCTTAGCCCAACTTGACTGGACTGTGTGCTGGGGATGTGCGAGGGAAGAAAGCCACTCCATGGCTGGTACTCCAGCCTGAGGGCTACAGAAACCCCTTTGGCTGGTGCACTGCCTGCCTATGGTGGGTGGTTCTGCAGTGATGTGCATTCACTCCCTCGCCCCCCAGTGCATCTCTGTGCTGGGGCCCGGAGCCCTGGCATGCATTCCCCAATGCCTGCGCTGCCTTCTCCCACCCTGTGCCACGGAGCTGCGTTGGTTCTGCTGAACCTAAGGCCCTCCGTTGCTTATGGAGGTGGGCAATAGTTTCCCCCAAATATAGGGGCCAGGCCAGAGCCTGCAGTTGCCCTGTTTGAATGTACAACGGGGGAAGCAGTGCACAGGGGTCTGGTTTCCCAGGAGGGACCTTTGCATACAAAGAGGCCAATCTAATACTGCATTTCTTGACACTTCCCAGTACATACGTGAGGTGAAATCCTGGCCCGGTTGGAGTCAATGAGAGTTTTGCCGTTACTGTACTTTCACCGGGGCCAGGGTTTCACCCCAATCT